GGGGCACTTGGTATTGTTTCTACCATCGTTCCAGTCTTGTAGGGAGCTATAAGGATCAACATTTAACCATTCCCCAAGAACACTTACTATATTCGGGATCTCCACTCCTCTTCGGCAGGGCGGACGAACTGCAGGAGCAAAGGTCTAGACCTTCTAAATTGAAATTAAAATATTTAAACTCCTTTCAAGGTCCAGGAGGGCCCAGACCTTGCGGGGAGTTCTGGGCCTTATGTGTTTGTTTGGTTTGCATTTGAGGTCAACTTTGGTGAGACAAAGGTAAGATTGTTGCTAGCCATTGAGACCTTGGGAAGACTTTGTCTCATGTCAAGTTGAGACCCAAAATCAGCCCGGCGTTGAAGCCCTGTGGTGCGCCTTACGGACAGCACGACTGAAGGCAGGTTCTATCTGGGAAGGTGTCAATCATGTATGGCGTGTTTATGTTGTTTCTTCTGGATTGAAGACCGACTATCCACACTGAGGACTGATTTGGCGACGCTAGAGCGTGTTATCATTGCGTATGAGACCGAGATGCATCCTCGAGCTCGGGACTATGTCTAACTGTATCGAGAACGAGAACGCCCTTTACGATGACGATGCAGCATTTTATTTGATTGATATGTTCAACGGGTCAACTGAAGCAGACATGTGTGTTTGAGGGCTCACCCATGTATATCTATCTCATGGAATTCCGCATCACACACGGCCCGGCATGATGGCGAAGACATTACAGACTTGATCATTAAAACAGACATCAGGTAGCGTTTTGGGCTTATAGAGGATGTGAGGTGCACATCTATGGAGTACCTTATGTAGGTATAGATAGATGATAGATCTGGCAAGGAATACAATAGGGAGCATCTATCCCAAATGAATGAAACCACCAAGCTTGGGCTATTTGTAGATAAATGTAGGCATCGCAAAAGCCTTTCATTGAAAATTGATCGATGTAATCTTGTAGGGTCGTCACTCATGATGCTAGAATCCAGGATAAAACCAACCGAGAAAACCGAGAAAAGAAAAAAACCAGATCGAAAAACCATTAAGTCGCTTTATGCTTTCTTCTCGGCGTCCGGCGCTTCGGAGGAATCACCAGTGGGTTCAGGTTCTGCACTGCCCGCTTGCGGCTCTGTAGAAGAGCCTTCATTCTTGGCTTCTTCCTCTTCTTTCGGTTTCGTGTCCTCAAGGACAATATCACCGTCCTTGTCGACAGTTGATTCGGCCTTTTCCTGTTCTTCTATTGCCTCGGTAGCGGTGGCAGTGGCTGAAGCCGGGACATCGACGGCACCATCTGTGCCAAGACGCATCTCGACGCCTTTGCCGTCTTGCAGACCCATGTCTTCTACGCCAAGGAGGATTGGACCACGGGCGTGAGGGACCTCATCAGATGGCTCCGGTGAAGTGGTAGCAGCCCTTTCTTCGGCTTCGGATGGTACTAGGGTTGTGGCTCCCGGTTCTTCCTCGGGCTGTGTAGGTAAAGCTTCGGTGCCTAGGGGAAGACGTTAGTGAACAGGAAACCAGTAGCTCGGTAATAATGGATAAACATACCCTCGACTAGTATGCCTGCATCTCCATTGGTGTCCTCGCCTTCGAACGAGGCATTGGTTAACCACGGGATCGGAGTAAGCAGCGCACCGCCCAGAGACTCATCGCTTCCAAGACCGTGGGCAAAGTCCGGGGCTATATAAACCCCGCTGCTATTGCCAGGAAGCACTAGGCCGTTAGCTTGAGCATTCGTGAGCCCCGGCGTTTGGAACGGAAAAATATCTGCGGAGCTTGTCACTGAGACAACGCGATCGACAGCACGTAGGTATGCAGGTAACGTTCTATAGTGCTTGGTCGGGTAGAGCACCAGCTCTGCAAGCCTCTGAATGGTGTGTGGAGGTTTATCCTCGAAGAAGGATTTAATCGACGAGCGGATGGCGCTCAGAAGAAATGCAAGCGGAGGTGGAAGGTGGCCATCCGTGCTCGCACCAGATGGCTGGGGCTGTGAGTCCGACACTCGCTCACCCGACGGAGAAGAGCCAGTTCGCGCTGCCTGGGGTAAAGTCTGGAGATCGGTAGGGGAGGTGTTTTCCTTGTTGCTGCTTTCAGGTGGGATGGAGGTTGCCTGGGAAGAATGGTTGGGAAATGGTTGCTGGCCGATGGGTTCGGGGCGCGCTTGAGGCATGGGGAACACATTGTACACGATCTAGAGCTACTAGTTAGATAAGTCGGCCAGGGACATCGAAGCATAGCGCACGTATTCAAGTCGCTCAATCAGTGGCCCAGCCATGCCGTGCCATCTCTCTCTGTATCGGCGCGTTAGCCTCAGAAGTGTTTGGGGGATCTTGGCAGTTTCACGTACAAATCTATCGGGCCGCCATTGGCGGCTGTTTGGAGAGCTTCCTCGTCTGTAATTTTGATATATCAGTTAAGACCCATTGCGACTCAGACTGAAGCTGCGACTGTGATGGTCAACCTACCCAGAGACATTGTCCAGTTAGCTGTGCATGGAGAAACAGAGAGAGTCGAAGCTGCAATCAGGGCGCGCGGCAGTCGACATCGGTGATTGGCCTGAGCTTATCGATAGCGCCACGTGACTCTCCGCGAATTTTCGGAGTTGAGGGGCACCGTCGATCTCACATTTGACATATCCCGATCAATTGACTCATTTATCCCTTCGATCGGACATCATGTGGAACTCACCAAAGGTCGGAATCCTCGGCGGTGGCCAATTGGGCCGCATGCTTGTCGAGTCCGCCAACAGATTGAACATCCAGGCCAATGTCCTCGACGTCGACAACTCCCCCGCCAAGCAGATCAGTTCCCACGATGGCCATGTGACCGGCTCCTTCAAGGAGCCTGACGCCGTGCGCAAACTGGCTGAGACCTGCGATGTCATCACTGCCGAAATTGAGCACGTCGACACCTACGCTCTTGAGGAGGTTGCGTCGAAGGTACGGGTGGAACCCAGCTGGCAGGCTATCCGAACAATCCAGAACAAGTTCAACCAGAAGGAACACCTCCGCAAATATGGAATCCCCATGGCCGACCACCGGGAGCTGGTGAACAACACACCCGAGGAACTGGCTCAAATTGGAGAGCAGTTGGGCTACCCGATGATGTTGAAGTCGAAGACTATGGCATATGACGGACGTGGTGAGTCATATGTGATCCCGATCTGGTATACATCTTTGTTAACATATCAAAGGAAACTTCCGTGTCAACTCCAAAGAAGATATCCCAGAGGCCCTCGAGGCTCTGAAGGACCGCCCGCTCTACTCTGAAAAATGGGCTTACTTCAAGATGGTTAGTATCTGCGGTTGAAAAACACCACACCATCCACGTCTCTAATATAACTTGACTACAGGAACTCGCCGTCATGGTCATCAAAACCAAGGACGACGTCCTCTCCTACCCCACCGTTGAGACCGTCCAAGAGGACTCAATATGCAAGCTGGTGTATGCGCCAGCCCGCAACGTCTCCGACGCCATCAACCAGCAAGCGCAAGCTCTCGCCCGTAAAGCCGTCGCTGCCTTCGAAGGCAAAGGCGCTTTCGGTGTGGAGATGTTCCTCCTAGAAGACAACAGCCTGATGCTCTGCGAGCTTGCAAGCAGAATCCACAACTCCGGCCACTGGACAATCGAAGGCTGCGCGCTGTCCCAATTCGACAGCCACATCCGTGCCATTCTCGACCTGCCCATCCCACCCAAGAGTCTTGAGCTTCTCCAGCCCTCAATCATGCTCAACATCATCGGCGGCGCAACCCCCGATTCCCACCTCACGGCCACCCAAGCTGCCCTCTCCATCCCCAACGCCAGCATCCACCTCTACAGCAAGGGTGCCGCAAAGCCTGGCCGCAAAATGGGCCACGTCACCGTCACCGGCGCGACTATGCACGAAGCCGAGACTCTGATCCAGCCCCTCGTCGACGTCGTCGACACCATGCGCGCCCAGCGCCCCGATATCAAGACCAAGGCTGTCCGCTCCGGTCCCTCTAAGCCCGCTCCCTCCGTCGCCGTCATCATGGGTTCCGATAGTGACCTGAAGACCCTCGTCCCGGGCCTCAAGCTGCTGCGTGATTACTTCGGCATCGAGCCTGAGGTTGAGATCACCTCTGCTCACCGCACGCCTGATTACATGGCCGAGTATGCGGGCCAGGCTGCCTCGCGCGGCATCAAGGTGATCATCGCCGCCGCCGGTGGCGCTGCCCACCTTCCCGGTATGGCAGCCGCTCACACTGCCCTCCCTGTTATCGGCGTGCCGGTTAAGGGAAGCTCGCTCGACGGCGTCGATAGTCTCTACAGCATTGTGCAGATGCCACGTGGTACGTTATTTTCTGTTTTGCTCAACTTCTTTCTTTCATTTTTACACCCATTTGACCCGATCTATATTTCTAACAATTAATAATAGGCGTCCCCGTCGCCACTGTCGGCATCAACAACAGCATCAACGCTGCCCTCCTAGCCGCGCGTGTACTTGGCTCTTTCGACCCAGCCATCCAGCGCAAGGTCGAGACGTACGCCGAGGCTGCCCGTGCCGAGAACATGGAATTGAAGGGTACCAAGTTGCGCGAGTTGGGGTGGCAGAAGTACTTTGATCAGATGTAGACGGTAAGCATGTAGGCATTTGTGATTTGAGATTTGATACGAAGCAGACGCCGGAAAAAAAAGAGAAACACGTGAGGATTTTACCTTCCCTGGGCTTCTTGTATAGTGGAGTTCAGTTTACTTCTTTTTATAGACGACAATGAATGACTTTTAAGCTTATTTTTAGCTTCCACGGGTCTAGGGTACTTCAAAATTTCTGTCTTTGATCAAAGCTCCAATTTACTCAGGAATGATTAACGCAGACAACGGTGGCATTATGTATTAGGCTACCGTTAACTAATACTAGTACAAAAAAAAGAAGAAAACGTCCGTAGTGCACAAGGGGAAATCATAGCAAAGAAACAAGAATATCAAGGGACAAAAGAAAATAACGTTACGAGCATGTCATAACGATTTTGGCCACATTCAGTTTAGACGGTAGTTCCGATATTGTTGACGGCAGTACCGTTAGTAACAGTGCCACTAGTGATGCCGTTAACGCCATTGGTGCCGTTGGCGCCATGCTTAATGGCGTCACCCAAGTTCTGGGGCTTGCCATTGACGAAAGCTTGGTCAACCTCATCGGAGAAGCCACGGGCCGGATGTCCGTTGGTACCATTGGCAATGACGGGAGCGGCGCCTGTGGTGGCGCCAGTGACACCCCCGGCGGAAGCAACTCCGGCGGCACCTGCGCCTTGGGTGCTGGCACCGTGAGACTTCTTGGTGATGGGGCCGCCGGACGGGATGCCGGTGGACTCGGATGCGCTGCCGAGGCTGAAGATGGGGGACTCCCAGCGTTCGCCCTTGGCAGCCAGCTCAGCATACTCGGTGGTCTTGTTGGATACACCACCGGGGAGCTGGATGTCAGGGAAGATGGAATCGTGGAGAGTCATAACAGTCTGGACCGTGGTGTCACGCTTGGCAACGTTCTCAGCCTGCTTGGCCTTGGCTTGAGTGCGAGCTCGGATGGCATCGGCGTAGCGGGAGAAGATCGTGGGCGCGTTCGCGGGGTCTTCGCGGGCGGCCTCCTGGGCACGCATGGCCTCGGTGTGGATGTCCTTGGCGAAAAGGTCGCCCTTCCTGAAGGCCTCGCGGATCTGACCCTCAACCACCTTCTGCAGAGCAGGTCTGACCACGCGGAACAGCATGGGCTTGAAGGCGTTGAAGAGCAGCTTGTGGCGGGACTTCCTCAGCTTGATATCCATGTGCTTGATGGACACAGACACCCTGTCCAACTTGACAAAGTGCTCCTTGTCGTTCTTCTGGGCAGTCGAAGCGGCGATCTTGACGCTGAGACCTTCTCCACCGAGGAAGATGTCCATGATTCCACGATCGGTGATGGCGGGGAAGCCCTCCTTCTTTTTGATGTAGTAGCTGATATCGCGCAGATCAGCCTGAATGCCAGACATGGAAATCATGATCTTATTATCACGCTTGTTGGTAATCTTCTTGCGACCCCAGCGAAAGTAGTTGTCGCTGCCGAACTCGATAACATTGGGCATCAGGTTGTCACCCTCAATGCACAGGTTCTCGACCACAACATCGACCATTGGGTCCGAGACTTCAATACGGGGGATTGGAACGTAGCGGACATTCTCGAAGATGCTGGGAATGATAACATCGCGGAGATCCCGAAGGAGATCCGGCTTGAAGGTAGCCTTGCCACTAGCGTCGTGGCCCAGATCCTTGAATAGCTTCTGGAACGACTCAGCAAGGGCCTGGTTCTGCGGGTCCTTCTCGAACTGATCGGCCATGAACTTGGCCTCGTCAACAACACGGTCGGCGTCACCACGGTAACGCTCACGCAGGAGGTAACGGCCCTTATCGTAAATCTCGTTCCACTGGCGGTTGCATTCGTCCTCCATGATGAAGCCTTGCTCGCGCAGAGATTTGCTATATCTGGTCAGCTTTTGTTCTGGGGTGAAGTTTTCTAATTCACATACCGAATCAAGTTGTCGACGTTCGTGAACCAGTTTCGGAGTTCAGGGTCCCTCTCGGCATTGCGGTAAATGGTGTTCAGCGACTCGAAGAAGCTGTCCAGAGAGGTGTGGTTGGCAAAGCGTTCGATAAGGGTGCGCAAATTGTACTGAACAGCCTGGACATTGTCGGTCTTCAAGACGTCACGGGCAGAGCTGCTGCCCTTCTTGGAGATGTCCTTGGAGTGTCCGGCGTATTGCTCAGCCATGCTCAACAAGGTCTCGACAGCTTGCTGGTCTGCATGATTTGTTAGTAACCTTCGACATCGATATTGAAACCATGGTTGACTTACAGTCAGCATGACCCTGGATCTCAATGATCATCTTCTTCAGACGCCAGACGGTCTGCTCGCGACGCTCCTTGGGAATCTTGTCGGACAAGTAGCTCTTAGTCTTGTCGGAATATTCCTTGCTCTTGTTCTGCGGTGACGTGCCAGTCTCATCTTCAGCGACTGCCTCAATACCTTCGTTCTCCTGAGATAGTGTTAGTATGTGCACATTGGGGACGCATCAGGGATACATACAGCCTTAGCCTTGTTCTTCTTCATTCTGGACTTCAGGTCATCCTTGGAGATATTGGGCTTCTCGTGCCAGACGTTGTCCTCTGCAGCTTGGTCGATCTGCGAAAGGTCCTCTTGCGAGGGGCGGACCTGGTTGGCGGCCTTTTGAGAAGCATCGGCAGCAATGTCTTTGCCAAGAGTGATGGCATCGTTCACTGGTCATCGTTAGGCAATGTCCGTGATCCACAAACGGAAGTTTACTTACATAGTTTTCTAAACTCTCCGTTGGTGATCATGAGTGTGCCCAGGGTCTTCAGGCCATCAACGGCCCTGCTCGCATCTTGCTGACTACTCTCCTTGTCGATAGGGAGCCCGGGGCGCTTGCCCTCGACATTTTCACCTGAAATCTTCTGGGCTTGCCAGATAAAGTCTTGCAGGAGTTCACCCTCGTTCTTGACCAAGAGCATCTTCTTAGCTGCATCGATGACATTGCGCACATCTGCCACAAGGGTCTTTCCGTCGGATGAGAGCTCCTTAGATGGAGATCTGAGGGCCTTGGAGTTCAAGGCACTGTTCAAAGCGATGTCACATTGCTTGTTCTGTAAGAGGCAGGGACCTAGTTAGTATTGGCAAAGGCCGGTGGTAGAAGATTGAGACGGACCGAGGGGAGCTTGCTATTCTTGAAGGCTATAGTAGAGACAGTTAGCACGGCAATGATCAATTAGGATCTGATGAAGCTTGACTTACCATGGTAGATACCAAACAATTGAAGCTTCTGGTTGATATCCTAGAGGGACTGTCAGTGGTTTCAATTGGGGGTCACCTTGTCATACATACCTTCTCCTTCTGCTTAGAGTCGGTGGGAACGTTCACAGACATGATGAAGTATGTGTCGAAGACCAATGATGAAGGGATGAGATAGCTAAGGTATTATGTATGAACTAACAAAGGTTAGATGTTTGCATCCATGACAAACAAGGGTACTCACAATTAACTATTTATTGAACCTATGTAGGCACAAAACAAGGGGTATCACTGGAATGAAGGAAAATATGGTAGAGAAAAGAAAATTCAAAGTAGGAGGGAAGGGGTGACAAGAATATAAAAGACAAAGGGCATAGCGCCATTATGATGAGCAGGGCAATGATCCCTACTACAAGGAGCCCTCAAAAGGTTACCTAAGGAGCTACTTTGCCCGAGTGCTATAGCTTTTTGGTGATCGACACTTGACGTCATTGTAACTGTTACGGAAATCTGCTCCTTCCCAGTCTTTTCATACCTTTTGTTACGTTCAGCCTAGAACATTTTTTTCAAGTTTATATTTGAATACATATGTTGTGTCATATGTAAGGTTATATCATATTAACCTGGGGTTTCAGATCCACGTCATCCACTTCATCATCTCCATAAGGCTGGATTATCCACGCTAAAGCTATATAGCTTGACAACTAATCATATAAATCCAATAGAAACCCATCAACCCATAAAATCCCACAAACCCCCTAAGGATCTACAACCTTTTCAAGGATGAGATCGGAAAGTCTTGGCGTATGCCATCATCCATGGGTCTACGTGGGTCCACATATCAGAGTCTGCTCAACTTGACGTCAACACTTCGGATCTTCGTACGGAATTAGATTAATCGGCCTTTTTTGACGTGCACTTTTGACCTTAACCAAGTTAACTTGGGACCATTCCGGCTATGATTCTAAAGGCCAAGCTTTCAGCCACAGGAGGGAAAAAAAGGTGTGGCTTATATGGGGCTGTGCACCCACTCCTTACTAGATTAAGAATAGTGTCTCCAGTCTGTTTCCACCCTCTTGATCTTGAGTCTGAGTCTGATCGAGTTTGATTTTGATCGCCAATGATTCCAAATATCTTAGTGGAGGCCATCTCCTGGAACCTAATCGACCACTATTCTCATCGCGGAGACCCTAATAGCGCTTTTACACGACGCCAGAAAGGGAAAGTCATGGGGATCTCTTTTTCACTCATTCGATTTGTCCTCTGTAAATATGAATTGGGGTCGACCCCTTCATATTTTGTAGATCCGTTTCTCAAGGAAATCGACGGTCCTAGAAGCTACTGTTCAAAGGTAATGCAATTATGAAGTATGTGGCGCTCACAGAGCGATTAACTCACACGTTCTTCATAACTATCACGTTACCGTATAACACCAACACCAGACTACATGGCATACATCGTTATTCAGACAACACAGCAACCTTCGAGCCCCAACTCGCCTTGAGCTACACACTACGCTCCAAGGCTCACTACCATTCAACTCAATCCGTATATCAACAGGTTGTATGTACGGAGTACACAAACACCGGTTGAACGGCGCACCAAACATACATATATGCACCCAAGTCTACTAATATTCAATGTCCCCTCCCTCCCCAATACCGTCTACTATCCTCCACAACCCTCCCTTCCCACCCCTCCTCAACCAACGGCCCAATAACCTCTACCACACTCTGTCCCTTTTCAAAAACCCGCCGACAAGGCAGATTCAGCGTCAAATTCTCCGGATTTCCAACACCAATAACATCCTGCAACGCGCTCTCCGACGCCAGATACACCAGCCGCCCAATATGCGCCCAGTAGATGGCGCCCGCGCACATCGCGCACGGCTCCCAGGTCGATACCAGCGTGCAGCGGGCCAGGTACGCCCAGTCGTAGTTGTCTGCGGCGTTGCGCGCGAGCTCGCTTTCTGCGTGCCGCACGTGGGAGAGAGAGTTCGAGGAGAGGAGGATTGTTTCGTTGTCTGGGGCTAGGAGGATTGCTGCGAAGGGTCGCTTTTTGTGCAGGTCTTGTGCTTGCGCTTGGTGGGTGAGGACTGCATGGGATGCGGCGGTAAGTTGGGGTTGTGTTAGGGGGATTAAATTTAGGCTGGGAGTAGTCATTGCGAGGTTTGGTGTGTATTGCGGGCCTGGGTATAGATGAGGATATCGGAGTGGGTAAGGTGGGTAAGGTGGGTTTGGGGATTGTGGATTTTTATGTCGTGCTCGGTTTGATATGAGGTTCGCGGCGGTATCCGACGATGCGAGATAAGGGGTGAGGGGCTATTGTTTCCTCACAATCATAGGTGAGACTAGTGAGACATTCAAAATTTGACTGGTGAAGTGGTGCATGGTGTATGTCGTGAGTTATATGCTTGAGTAGTTGCTATGTACAAAAATAGGCAAGAGGTCATTATTTACATGTGGAATCGTCAGGGGTCCGGGTTACTCGAAATCGGAGTCTGGGCAGCGGAGAGATTCTCTCTTAGCGGGTCCGTGGACGAGCCCTTGGAGGACGATCGCATACGAGTGTGGGCACCGTACTCGGGATTCTCCATGTGCCTGTCGCTATCTGGCTGCGGTGTGCTATTATTATGAAATGAAAGATCCACGAAGTCCGACAGGTCGGTCGGGGCCGAGTTGCTGCCGCCGTTCTCAGTGATACCCACCAATTTGCCTAGGATCGCGTATTCCAGCTTGAGCTTCACGCTGTAGACCATTGCCTTGAGGGCGACATGGATGTCGAAGAAGCCCGAGTACTGTACTCCGATAATGGCGGCGTCCATCATGATCATGACTACGTTCACGATCAGGAGTTGGACCAAGGTGCCTCGGTAACGACCTCTTGGGCGGAGATTCAGTAGTCGCACAGCTTCCCAAGAGTAGATGGCGGAGAGGATGATTTCTTGTATGGAGAATCCGATCAATTGGATGCGCTCGAAGATGTTGAACCCGGTGGTGAAGATGGAGGATTTGTTCGAATGGCTGCCAAGTTCGAGGACGGATCCGGGAATATGTAGGATGATCGCGTCGACGATGATCATGGCGAGAGTGGCGCGAAGGACGGTTCGGCTGTGACAGACAAGATGCAATCGAGACCAGAGGACTAGGGACTGGCCCGTTACCATCCCGACCCAAGCGACTAGCTCCATCGCTATGGGGAATGTGTTGGTGTATATGTTGAAGATGACGAGGAGATACCCGAGACCGAAAGGGATGATACTGAAGGAGGCGATGAGGAGACACCAAAAATAGCACCCGCCATATCTCGTGAAGGTGGTGAAGCACAGAACAATCAATTCCAAGGCATTATACCAGGCAATTCCAATGAAACAGGCGACTACAGTGAGTTCCGCGAATCGGCCGCCGGAGCGATCAGCGAAGCTGAAATTGCCGGAAATGTCGGCACGCGACATGAGGACATCGCTGTTGGAAGCGTATTGCGCAATTATACAAACATTGCTAGGGAAATATGCCAGTAGAAGTATACAAGCGAAAGAAGCCTCGGGGGAAATTAAAGTAAGGGGATATATGCACAAGCCGAGGGAGATACGAGGCAAAACGGCAGAGTGGCGGAGAAAGTCAAAGATAAGACCTTCTTCTTGTTGATATAGATTGAATTACAATTGGGTCCCTGGAGAATAAAAATCGGGGCCAATTCGGGGCAGCCCCGATGGCGGAGATCCGGGTGATCTTCTGATAGGACGCTTGCGCCTCAAGCTTGGGGCTACCTAGGTACGTACCAAAGGTTAATAATTTTTTCCATGGGTTTTGAAAATTTAGATAGTCAAATAGTGAACGTATATTCTAATTACTAATCAGTGATTACTATAGAGTTTCTACTTTGTAGTAAATCCCACAAAACTGCTATACGGATAACGAGTTGGACTACAATGTTTGTCCTCCAGTCAAAGACTATACTCTATTGTCGGGCTTGTTTTGAGTCTAGTTTGATTGCATGTAGCAAGGGGTATGCTTTTGTTCATGTTGAGAGTTGGTTCTCGTGATCGTACTGATACGAGCACAGGTTCTAATTTTTTTCAAAACAATCACGTGTTTGTCTGCGGATTATATTAGTTATTTAGTCAGTATCTTTATGTGGTTGTGTCAGGCATATCGTGACGGCACATAGCTGTTGATCCAAGCGCCGGCAACAGCATTCGCACCTATCTTCTCGGCATAGAGCAAGACATATGTATATAATAATATCAACCATAGTATCTGAGTGTCTTGGTTTAGCCAGGCCTGGGCTATCTCACAGTCATCTGGTACGTGGCCAAACTGAAGGAGATTTCCCTCTATCGTTTTGGGGTAATGTGAGATAGGCTATATTTAATTTGATGGAATGACTATAATATTTCAAGCGAAGGACCAAACGAATATTCCCTGCGTTGTGGATTCATCTACGGAGTATTGTGGTACTCCGTGGCTACTTGGCATTTGGGAATGTTTGATAATGATGTGTGCGTGGGTGCTAAATGAAGGCAACCTTAATTACGCCTTTGTCTTTCAAAAATTTTCCCCTGTTTTCCCCTGTTTTATTACAATCTGCCTACTATCGATACCTGTTTATCTAGGTTTGGTGGCTTTTTCCCTCCGTGTGGCTACGTGTGGTGTCTTACTGAGCCGAAGAGGCTCGATATATATATATTTGAACAATTGAATTCTGTCAAAGATAAAAAACAACATCCATAAACGATCAACAAGGCCAATATGGTTACCTCTGTCTAACCGAAAGAAGGTGCGTGAAGTATCAATTTTTCGCTCACAACTAGGCACTATACTTTAACAGCCACCAAGCATGTTTTTATCACTGCCAAACAATAAAATACTACATAACTAAGTCACCTCTAATTATGTCTTAATAATACTAGTAAATGATACTCAGGTATCATTAACTAAATATGTGTTATTGAATGCACTCATAAAGGTTTCCAAGGTTTGTTTGCCTGCAGATTATTCAGACCCCTCTCTTTCATAGGTTCCAATCTTGCCCAGGTGTTTCCATGGAGCTATATGACAGAGGTAGATGATAGTCCGCATCTATCTTTGTTAATAATATTCTTGCTCTCTCTTGTAGTGACGTGGATTCCACGTCCATCAGTCATGAAAATCGCCTTCCGCCCCCAGGTAGGAATACCTCAACCCCAACCCTCTTTTAATCTACTCCATACGAATGCCTAGAAAATACAGAAGAAATTCTCATCATTTGATTGAATCTGCATCCAGTGGGCTGTTACGGGTTGTTACAACCTAGGGAAGCCAGAAGATGGCAGAATTACACTCCCTCCCTCTGGAGCTGCTCGCCATGATTGTGTCTCTGTTAGATTTAGAAGCCCTCACGGCTTTTAGTCTAACAAACCGGGCGCTATATAACCTCGCAAGCAATTACATATTCCGTGTTATTTCATTGTACAATGAGGAAGGAAGCTGCGAGAAATTCAAGTCCAGCATATCACACCCACGGGTGAAAGAACGCGTACGCAAGCTCTACCTCAACACCGTGTATTACGACTATATGAGTGAGATATGACGGCTTGACAAGCAAAAGTCGACGTTTGCCAGTATTTTCTTCTGCAAGAGCTGACTGATCTACTACACGATAGGTTTCCGCTGTACAAGGGGAAATCGAACCACCCAGAAAATGGCAAAAACTGTTACCAATGTTGCGACAACTTCCAAATCTGGAAAGTGTTGCTCTGCGCTTCGATAAGCACTGTTCTGTGAATCCACTTTATCCCGACAAGCCCCAGACAGGGCTATACCGGGCTACTGTTTTGGAATGGCTCTTTGCGGAATAAGTGTCTTTGCGGCGACCATTGAAAGAGCTCGCGATCCAGAATCATCAGAATACAGCTCCACCTCCGGGGAATATTTTAAATGAGATGGACCAAGTGCCGAGAAAGCTGATGTCTCTAACCCTCAATGTGGTGCATAAAAGGGATGAGGCCTTTCCCGAATCGGAAATAAACTTGCGTTATTGTTTATTATCGCTGATGTTAACCTCCTCATGGCCACCTACACATACTGATCTAAAGATACGCCCGACAGAAGGACGAGCCACATCAGTTTTTTACTTACACGCTATCAACATACTGGCTTAAGCCAGCGATGGGATCGCTTCAAAAGCTTTCTTTGTATTCCACCATGTACTGGGGACTTCATCCCCACGCCAAACCGGATGGAGTTCACTTCCCTAATTTGAAGTCACTCACTCTTGGTAATTTCTCTTTTCACAAAGACAAGCAGCTGGACTGGATCACCTCTCACTCCACACTACAGGAGCTTTATCTCGATAACTGCCCTATCTTGTTCCATATCGCAATGCATGACAGTGATGGAATGTTCCCCCGCTCTCCCATAGCTAAATCCGACATGTACCACAACGAGAGTGTGCACTGGAAGCTTCAATATACTTATCCACGTCGGTGGTATGGTTTTTTTGTCGCGATTGAGATCGGTCTTCCCCACCTCTACCACTTTGGATTTGGAATCAATCAGGAGTGGGATATGGATGTCTTGCCATTTGAAAGCGCAATGAAGATTGTCCCCGCGCTAAAGGAAGACCGATACATGGGATTTGATTGCGGCATACGCGATTTGGGCCCGGAAGCTCTACGGCCAACTTGTCATAAAAAAGATCGAGAGGCATTAAAGGCATTGGATCGGAAGATTGGACAGCAAATAGACCGTGGAACCGTCACTATCGGTGGATATACGGTGGAAAACCTGATAAAAACGGGACAAAATATGGGGATATCGAGGCCCCTTGTAATAACACCGCGCAGAATGCAATGTATCTCTGAATGGGCTTGTGCTATGCTGTCAATTCTTCCAGGTAGATTCTATCTAGATACATCGTTGTTTTCCTTTACAAAAGCCTCACGGCCTTTTGTTTCACTATCTACTGCAAGTTATCTGGAGTCTCGGCCATTATCAACTCATTTCTATTACTCACCAATTCCAAGGTCATCAGCGCATGAGTGCGTTGAATATTCTAAGCCTCCTTCTCAATGTGTCCACGGATATACTCGCGAGGTCTGGCCATTTACTGTGTACAGGTGCTCCTTTGGAATTAGTGCGCAACTAAGGGACCATGTGCATCATGAACAAAAATATTAATAGGTTGAGATTTGCCTAAGACTAAGTAGAACAAAGCGGAAATTTCCGCCACAGTTGACCGAAATTACTTGCCCTGGCAGTCACAGCAGACCTGACAGCACACGAGTTCCTCACTCTTTGGCATTGTGCTCGAACACTTCCACTTCTTCCCGATCTCCAAATACCTCAACTTGGGTGCTGGAGAACTTTCTGGCCGACACTTTCTCTTCAAACAGCATATCAAGTTCAGCAAAAGTGCGACCAGTTGTTTCTGGAACTCGGAAATACGTGTATACAACACAGCAGAAGCAAACTCCTCCCCAGAAAAAGCCTGCAAAATTACTCCAATCCCAGGCGGCAGGGTTCAACATATAGGGAGTTAACACACCACAGATGATACCGACAATATTGTATAGGACACGACCGAGAACCACAGTCTTGATTTGCAGCCGACGAGTGGAGATTTCTGCCACGAGCGAATAGGCCACAGTTCCGACGGAAAGCTGGTAGAATAATGCCCAGCAGAGCATCAGTGAACCTGTTGCGAGTGATGCTTGATCCCTATGTGCACTAGGAACCAGGCCAAGGAAACCAAGCAAAAATAGTATAGTGCATAGTCCGACGAGGCCATAGAGATATAGCGTTCTTCGGCCAATTCCAAAGGACATGAGGAGCCAGGCTCCAAAGACACCAACCATGTTGATTCCGTATTGCCCCATCGCGAATGAATAGGAATTGGATGCCGATAATCCTGCCTGCTCTAGGAAGTATGTAGAGTAATTGGAAAAGGAATTGCCGCTGAGATTTTGAATTGCCCACACAAGACAGACAACCTCTGTTCGCCGTAAATTGGTCCCTTTGAAACAATCAAAGTACGAGGCTCCATCTGAAAGCTTCGCTTCAAGATTCGTGGTGTGACGTATCATAGCAATTGTTTCGTCCGCATTGAAATCCAAGTTTCGGTCCGCATTCGTGAGGCGTATGAGTGCCTTCTTCGCGTCTTCGTCCCTGTTCTTTCTGACCAACCACCAAGGTGATTCCGGGGCGAGGAAAATTCCAATAAAGAGAGGAACTGGCCACATCCATTGTAAACCATATGGAATCCGGTATGACCATTCATCATTCCGGTTCAACATCGCTTTGATGACTCCAATGCCTATAAGTTGCCCTAGTCCCCAGCAGAAGTTGACATATGACGTGAGATATCCTCTGAGAACGACAGGGCAGACTTCAGAAGCATAGGTCACCGTGAGCGTCTGGAAAATGCCCCATGGAACTCCGGCGAGGATTTCCGCTGCAAGCAGGGTTTGAATGTTTGGCGCTGTGAAAAAGATTGCCGTGAAAATGGTGATCAGGGCTAGGGAAGTCATAATTGTATAGCGATATCCGAATCTCTCTGAAGCCCATCCGTTGATCAAGAGGCCAATGATTTCTCCACAAGCGGCGCCGTTGCTCAGGCCAGCTTGCCACTATATGCGACAAAGTTATTAGTAACAAGAAAATAATGGGGGAGAGAAAGAGCCGGTAGCCACTGGCTTAACTTACTGCAGCTGGGACTTGATAGGAGCCATCTGCCGTCATTTCGCCGTACTTCTTTGTGAATTGGGGAAATGCATAGAAATTATTGACCAGACTGATATCATAGCCTTCCATTGCAATACATGTGGAAATGAGAACACTCCACCCGATCGCCTTCGGATAAGTTCTGATACCTTGTAACAAGGTCATCTTATGCTCCGCCTCAGTAGCTGCTTTCGCATTGTTGGTTGCCTTGGCTGTCGGCACAGAATCCTGGCGTTCGACATCTCCGAAGGCATTCCCTGCCGACGAAATGTCGTCCTTGGCCATGATTGTCCTTTTCGAAGGTGAAATCCCAGGCTTTAGATATGAACAAAAGGAGAAAGGATAGTCCTATAACTCAGTCACAGATATGAGAAATAATTATTGGAGCACGAGACATCTTTTTGTGGAGTCGGGGGTATTTATGTAGAAGGAACGGGAACCTTGTCTAGGTCGGCTATTCCAAAGTATCTACTCCGTAAGTATGTAGCTAATGGGTTAAATGCGGGAAAGGGTCCACCGGTTAGTCGGCCACTGACGTGAAGCCGATTTTAAATTGGGACCACTGTCAGCAAATTGACCCTGACCCATAACTGCTCTCTGTTGCCTTCAAAGGCCGTCCCAAATATTATAAAGAATGATTTCAATTGGTTCGTTCAACGAATGAAAAGGAAACATGATTCCGAAAGCCATGTGGCGGCCAATAGATAGAGGTATACTTGGCGTGTCTCTCGCTTATGTGGGAAGAAGCTTGTTAGCGAGCCCGGTTAATACGAAGTTACATCCATGGATGCGGGTGGGGGTATTGAACGTTGAAAAAAACGCGGGGCCCCACGGGGAATTTGAAAATTTGGCATTTCTCGTCATATTTTACCCCACTTTTCATGTCGCCCGTAGGGCCAACCTTGGAATTGATCGGAACTTACCGACGTGGGTCGGCGACTGAGAAATCCGTGTGCGCTGTAAGGACTTACCTCCGCATATGGGAGATCATCTCTCTATAAAAGGTCGCATAGGTACATGAAGTGAGGAAAATAAATAAGGTTGCTGAGCTTCATCGATCATATCTACCACCTATTCGCGATGCATATCTCTTCTCAATTTCTAATTCTTGGCGTTGCGACAGCTGTGGATGCTGCTGCCGTAAAGCCAAGAGGAACATCCACAATTCCGGATTATTTCCAGACCACCTATGGTCCGTTTGCTGGTATATATTTCCCCACTGCCACCAATTGGTCCCCCATGTGTTGACAGATAAAAATATAGGTCCGACACAGGCCGGAGGCGCACCCTTCCTGGCCCAGACAAACCCGGCTCCGTTTGGGAAGCATGACTATGTGCCCAATACACCGGTGGTGACTGATGTGCCTATCATCGGAAAGGGTGATGGTGCTGATTCATTCAAGCATATGGGCAATCTCTCGTACGTATGGGTAGAGCTCACCGGCCTGTTTTATACGTGACTAACAATGGAACCTAGGCCTTACATGCCTAATCCCTCTGGATTCGGGGTGAAAGAATATTCACTTCCCCCCGGAGCCAATATCACACAGATGCATATGGTGCATCGACACGGATCTCGGTATCCCACTTCCAGCGCCTCTGTGGCCACTCTGCCAAACCGTATAACGGAACTTCTCGGCAACGGGACTCGCTTCACTGGCAATCTGGAGTTCCTCAACACTTGGGAATATCGACTGGGAAAAGAAGAGCTGACGGCTCTTGGCCGCCAGCAGCTCTTTGACAGCGGTGTGCTCAATTGGTTCAACTATGGTCAACTTTATGATCCATCCTCACCGCTTATTGCCCGTACTTGCACTCAAGTGCGAATGATGCAGTCGGCTGAGAACTTCCTGAACGGATTCTTCGGTCCTAAATATGCCGAGAACGTCACTTTGGAAGTCATCATCGAAGAGCTTGGATTCAAGAACCCTCTGGCCGGAGATAAGGCATGCACCAACAACAACAACGATCGATCAGCTGGCGGAGACTGGGCAAACGCCGAATGGCAGAAGAAATATCTGAAGGGTGCAACGGAGCGATTCCGTCGATCGATGACGGGCCACCCAGACTGGACAGTTGAGGACACTTATCTTGCCCAGACGATGTGTCCATATGAGACCGTCGGCTTGGGATACAGCCCATTCTGCTCTCTCTTTACCAAGGAGGAATGGGAAGGCTTTGAGTATACCTTTGCCCTGAACTACTACGGAGGAAACGGATTTGGGTCTCCCACCGGACGGGCCGTGGGCGTGGGTTACGTCCAAGAGCTCGTCGCCCGACTGGAGCACCGCTACCCTCAACCAGAGGATGGGTTTGCTGCCATCAATGAAACATTGGACACCAACCCTACAACCTTCCCTCTGAACCAGAACTTGTATTTTGACTTCAGTCACGATACCACCATGTTCTCGATGTTGACCGCGCTGGGACTCACACAGTTTGAGCAGTTCTTGCCCACCTCCGGTCCACCGGAAGACCACCAACTGATTGTCAGCCATATTGTTCCATTCGCAGCCCGCTTCAATATCGAGATAATCAAAGCGCCGCGGCCCGTACGTGCGAAGCGCTCGAAGGATGCCCACGCCTCCGTATATGAGTCCAAGGGGCGTGAAACAACCTATGTGCACATGTTGATCAACCAGAGGACAATCTCTCTCGGGCGCAGTATCCCAGAGTGCGGGAAGCGAGATGACGGATGGTGCGAGCTGCAGACTTTCATCAAGGCTCAGAAGGAAAACATTGTGAAGGCGAAGTTTGAGGATAGTTGTTTCGGTGACTATCCAGCTCCAGCGTACGGAGACACCAAGACGGGTGCAATCTGAAGCGATATCTGTTATGGCATCTCGTGATTCGGATTCTATATTGATTACGGGGTAGAAGCTATGGAGAGCTTTTCACCCATGTCAACGATCCCTTGTTCTAATTTTCAATTCTTTAGTTTGATTCCAGGCCCTTGCACAAATCTATCAGTATGAGAAAAATCTTTCGCCGCCCGTGTTCATCAAATAACGTAGAGATTGTATTATGTATATAATAAATTGTTGTGGTTGTGTACCGAGGGAACTAAGGTCGGACCTTATACAAGCAAGCTTATTCAACTAGAGTGATACCACTGCCTATAAGCACTTTACAGGTTCTGGGCGACGGTGGTGAGGATGGCACCGAGAGGGGTGGCAACAGTGGGAAGGCCGAGGCCAGTGACAAGCTCAACGACGGAAGGAGACAGCTTGATAAGGAGGTTCTTGCCGTCCTTGCCGACAATGTGGAGAAGGTTCTCGATGGGCTCGGAGATGTCCTTGACGAGGTCACCAACGTCAGCGGCCTCGGCAACGATGGAGCCAATGGGGCCGGAGATGGTGGTCAGACCGAGGCCAGCAACGAGGGAGGTGACGGAAGGGGAGAGCTCGATGAGGAGCTTCTTGGCGTTCTGGCCGGTGACAGTCAGGGTGGTCTTGACCTTGGGGGCAAGGTCCTGGACAATCTCGCCACGCTTGAGGTTCTTGCCGAGAGTAGCAACGACGGTACCAACGGGGACACCAACGGTGGGGAGACCAAGACCGGAAACGAGGCCAGCAACCTCAGGGGAGAGGCTGATGAGGAGAGCACCGACGTCAGCGCCGACAACAGTGACGAGACCATCGACGACGGGGCCAAGGCCAGTGACAAGAGCACCGAGGCCGGAGGCGGAGGCGACGATGGAACCGAGGGGAGCGCCGAGGGCACCGAGACCAAGGCCGGAGACAAGGGCTGAAACCTCAGGGGAGAGCTCAATGAGCAGGGTAGTGGCGTCAGGGCCGACAACGGTCAGGATGTTGTCGAGCTGGGGTCCGAGGTTCTGAACAACGTGACCATCCTGGACAGCGGGAGTGCTGCTGGCAGAGGGGGAGGTGGGAAGATTGAGGACCTTGGTCAGGTCACCGAGCTTAGAGACAACGGGGATCTCAGTAAGCTTGAGCTCCTTGGTGATGTCGCCAACCTTGAGGCCACTGAGGACACTGTCAAGACCACCAACGGGGGTGGGAGCGGCGAAAGCAGAGCCGGCCAGAGCGGCGACGGTAGCGATGAATGAGGCCTTCATTGTGAAATTAATGGGTATATTGAAACTGGAAAGAATGGTTTTTGTTTGCTTAAAGAATGACTGCGGTAAGAAGCTTGGGAGAAGAAGAGAACTTTGATGGGAATGCAGAGAAACACTGTATTTATACGCCGAGAGCTGGTTGTGATCTACAGGTACGATCTTGCTTGCCCCTGGCCCCTGTCCAAGACTTTACAGCTTGTCAAGGTAGCAGTAATATCCTAGCCTAGTGGATCAGCTCCATAGTTGACGTGATTTCGATAGGATCAATGTAAGTCTCCAAGAAGTATTAAGTGGGACTAACATCTCCATGCCGGGATTTCGAGCCACATGTACCGAATCAACTCGAGCAGGGTCAGCACAGTGTCCTAGATGTGGACTATTGCTAGGGCCTTGAAAGGCAAGAAATATCAAAAATGTAGGATACCTCGAAACCAGTTGTACATAGCACTATAGCTGAAGTTTACACATAACATTCTTTGAAACCCACAAGCCCTAAAAACACGTCAAGTCATTCCTAACTAGAGATAAAATCGAAATATCCGGATATCATCGGACAAGAGGTCTAAATTGAGATCTGCCCATATTTAGGCTGCATATAGGTTTGCCCTTTGGCTTAGCGTGAGCTTAAACTCCAAGGCCGGTCTCCCGAGTAACTCCGGTGACAGAACCATAAAATTTGTTTTCCGACATTGGAAGATCTGGTTCCGATATCCTTAAAAACATACATGTACGCACCTGGGTATCTACAGGTCAAACTGATATTCTAAACCCACTTTAAATCAGGGGATCTGTGTTAGGACCTTATTTGCCACTTTTCTCTCGCTCTCGCTCTGATGTCATTTTAACGGAAATTAGAGTGGGGGACTCCATAAGAATGATCTGCAGGGAAATCAAAAGAGCTCGTAAGTTGACTTTTTAGTTCCAATAGCGTGAATCTATATTGCCAATCAGCCATGATTATTCATCTCCACTTAACACATCCAACATACCTTATTGGCCATTTATAGCCAACTGCCATATATAAACTTCTAGGGACCCTTTCCGGTAATTGCCCAGGTTTCCAGTCAACGTTTCTCGATGATTCAAATGGCAAAGATGGGTTCCCATTGGTTGATCGAAACTGATTGACCGCTAGGACCCCTATAAGATTGACCGGAACAAAGGATGGTCAAACTTAACTAGACATGAATGCCGTGAGCCACGGGACTTGGGATCCAGGATCGTGTTGCCAAAAGCTTGGGTGCCACCTACATCGCCTTAGGTATTTTCTTTGTATACTGGGATTTGCCGGAAACCCGGCTATTGTTGACCAATCCCGAGATATTCACCACAGGGGACATAATTCGAGCTACCTAGTTTGGCATATAAGCTAGACCGCTTGAAATAATCTAGAACTTATGATAGAGCGCTAGTAGAGGAAATAAGCCGATTTTGACAGCAGGAACCTGCACGATGCACCGAATGTTCTATTTGCTTGCCCGTTGGGATCAACACGAGAGAGGCTCTGTCGATCACCAGGTGGACATCGGAATTTCCCCGTTGATACTGTCTCAGACTAGACTGGGAGTCCCTTGTAGCCAAGAGGACTATCGCTATCTTGAGATCTCTCATTACAGGCCCATGTCATGATTCATTGGTCTTTCTGTCCGATCTATTGCCGTCTTGATATTGGATACCATTCAACTATAAGGGGTACTAATCAAATTGAGGCAAAATGATACAATGACTCAATAATCATCCTTCTATTCGAGTGCTTGGGACGATGCTAGTTTTTAAACAAACATGGTTTAGTATACATAGCTGATGTGTATTTCAAATGGTTTGTCATAAAAAGATTCGATAGCTGGTTTGTAAACATTTGGGTCGTGTCGATCTGCTCTCAATCCACCGACCTGCTCTCGATTTAGGTTATTGAAGAACTGCCTACGGTGGTACGGAGCACATATATCCACCCCAACAAAAAGCCTTCTGGGCCTGTCCACTCAGCCAGGAAGAATTAATTCCTCGGAATGAGCGGGACTGATGCAGTGTCTGACTTGACCTGCATCGCTCTAGGCATAGGCTCAGTCGGTCTTCCCGGATTCGACGGCCATTGACTAGTAACGCATACATATCCATTCACTGCTACACATTCGTGGTTGATCGTTTCTGCTCTTATCAACTGCTATATTTATTGCACAATATAAGTTCATTATTCCATAAATCTTAGGCTCGGTTTGGGTCTTGTGGAAACATCTAGAAGACAACAAGCCTGCACCAAACCCAGATCCACCACAACAAGCAAATGGTTGGATCAGGTCTGCAGCTCCTACATGTTGCATCCACAACAGAGCTCGTTCCTAGCTGAACAAATAGTGGATGCATCGCTCGGACATGGTCGGCGGCTTTCCTGATTCTGCTCGCTCGGGGTCATTGTAGGTTTACGAAGACTATGATACTACGGTGCCTCCGTATGAAGAGATGAAACAAATATATTTTGCCGACATCGGGATCAGCATCAGCTCATCTTACTCATTCTTGACAAATACTTAGGTACCTCCACAAAATGATTTGTTTGTCATCAATTGCCAAATCTAAAGCATTGGGGCCTCAAATCGTTGCTAGTATGTTGTTAACCCAAAAAGACAGACTACGCCAAGTGATAGACGGATCTGAATTTGCTATAACGTGGACCGGCTATACGGGATCATCGCGGTATACTAGGTCAGCTCGCCATAGTGTTCCGGGGACCAAAAGGAGGTTAGAATGGGTCCCATATTCTCTATAAGCCTAGTCTATATCACCGGGGTCATATTCTTTATCTCATATCAATTCCATCAGGTTGTGACTAGCCGAGATTGCTCGAAAACACTGTATGCGTAAGCATTTTACATTTGTCCTTCCATTGCCCACTACAGTGATATTTACCGCTTTGTCATTGGGTGCAGCAGATGGCATTTCAGGTACTTCGAATGCGATTGAGGCTCAATACCAGGCTCAATAATTCTCTTGGGCACGCCGTGGCCTCGCAGTAGCATCAAACATTACAAGCAAGCGTTGAGACTGCGGTATGTCATTGAAGAACACTAATAGCGGCGAGGGTTTGGATTGGATCGGAGATTGAGTGTGGTATGTGGTGTGCAAGTAGGCTGCCGTGCTACAGGTCGAAGTAATATCCAACTAAATGAGAGAAATTCGCAGTAAATATTATTTATTATGCACAGCATGTGGAGGGGTATTTCACAAAAACAAAAGGAATCCGTCACGCTTTCTTTTTCCAAATTCATACGTGTTACACTAGAAAATGTTTTCACAACTCGAGATGGTACCCCGAATATGCATCACCGGCCAGCGGCATGCCCGACAACGGGTCTTGAGAGTACATCCCCTGATTTGAAATATAACCCACCGAGCCATCCATCAGAGTTTTTTCTATGGAGGCAGACTCATCCTCGAACTGCTCTAAATGTCCGTGTATGTCCCACTTCCTATCACAATATTTGAGCAAGTCGCGAATATAGGATAGGCAGCGGATGGCACGTGCGTGGCAATTGAACAAGTCTTCGTCGGCTAGTACTGGCGGTTCTGGAGTCCCATCGGGGACGGATGGGGGTGCTGGGACAGCAGCGCTAATGAGCTTGTCGTAATTGTCGGACAGGACATCGACAAATAATCGACCCACTTGGTGCACGCGCTGGATGTCTAGGTATGTCAGGAAAGGCAGAGCGCTGGGATTTTCGAGGACCTGGTGAATTTGGCTGATGTAGTCCATGCACCGGTCGAATAGGAGAGCTTTGTTGTAGTCGTGAAGCGTTGGATATCGATGTGAAGGGGATATCAGGATGATAATGGTGTATAATAATTCGAGTCGGTATAGAAGTGAAAAGTGATTGGGCGCATTCTTGGGGCATTGATGGAACCACTCCCGAGCTCGCCAGCAAAGAGTCCAGATGAGGACCAGGGGCTGTGGGGATGGGTCACGCCCACTGTACTGCATTTCTTGGTAACCTGCAGACAGAATCTGTCGAATTTTGACGATGTGCAAGGCGGGTGCCGGGTTGCGTAAGAAGATGTGACTTTGGTCTATGGGGGCCCCTGGTGCGGCAATTGATGGCAATGCAACATTCGCAGATCCGTCGGAGAACGAGTAAGTTCTCTGCATAGCAGGACTCAATCCTCTGTAACAAAATATTAGGAGGGGAACAATCGAGGAACAGAACGAAGAAACGAACCTATCTAGACAATAGATGCAATGAAACACACGCCGGCGAATATCAAGTCGATCGGGATTAGTTGAAACTTCAGCAGGGGGATCTTGATGCAAGCCCAGATCGACCGCAACCTTGACGGCCATTCCAACCAAATACCAACTACGGAAGCGTACCGGGTCAACCAAAGAATATTGAGCAAGCAGTAGGATTGCTTGGATTCCTGAAATTGACCCAGGGCGGAGGACTTCCTCGGCATACGTCAAAGCCTCTGACACGAGAGCCCATGCCCTTTGATGGCTCTTATCATTGTGATGATATGAGATTGACGCCGAGGCGATAGCGAGAATCATCCGCAGTATCCAATGGTCGAAGGGTTTGGCGAACCGGCCGCCTGATTGATATACAGCATCTACCGAAGTCCAGAAGCTCGTTTCGACAAAGAAAGGCAGCTGGACAAAGACATTATCGAAATAGTGTTGTAGCAATGGGGTCGCTTCGTGTCGTGCCGGTAGTGAATAAGGAGAGAACGGTGGGGGAGAATCAACTAGAGCGACTGATAGGAGAAGGTTGGCGAAGGAGGTACTTGAGGTGATGCCGTGGAAGTCTCGCGAAGTCGCATTGACGGACCTTTGGAAATGTTAACGGGGCTAACCAAAAAGTAATTCAGCCACTGGGTTACTAACAAGAAACCAAAATCCCCAACTAAATCGTCGATATCTGAAACCTCTCTGCGGTGCGCAGGGCCCAATGCACTTTCGCACGAGACGGAGGTGATCGACATTTCCCGAGGGATCCCATCACCCTCAGCCG